TATATTCAAATTCAAGCATTTGTATTATTTTATTGGGCACAAATAGAAAACCTTTATAACAAAATTATTCAATATTTTTTTTAAATGTATAACTGAATCACCAATTTGTTCGAGTTTAAATAAGCCAAACTGATTAAGAATAAATATATTTGCTATTATTTCATTATTAATAATAAACAATAATTAAAAATTTATATTCGTAAACTTACTCTCTTTAGTAAATTGGCAAGATTCCAAACCAGGGATAATATCAAATAGACGCCATAATTGATCTTGATTAACCAGATTACTGACAGTAACTTCCAAACATGTTGGTTGATATGCAGAAGATCTCTGCATGTTACTATTAAAATCTTTAAGCCCAGAAATATCGTCGTTAGCTCTACCGTAATGATCACGTTGTGTTCGTGTAGAACCTCTCGGTTCTGCAAAAATAGCTTTATACTTATGTGGACAATTTTCATAAGCAAAAGCAGCATGTGAGAACCTATAACAAAAACAAATATTGAATATTTTATGAATATAAAAAGAACTTTTGAAATGATGTTAAACTTTTTTGTACAACAAAACAAAATAATACTTACTTTGTATATCGTATATAACCGCAACCCTTTGAAATTCCTGTTGTTTTATCTTTTACAATAGTGATACTTTCAACATCACCATACTTACTGAACTCTTCATGCAATTCCTGCTCAATTGCGTTTTTTGAGCATAGAATAAATAAACGCACAAACTTTTCATGCTCAATATCAGATCTACTAGAACCTTGGTTGCGACTAAAAAAATAAAACAAAAGTAATTCAAAATGTAGATATTGTTTAGTGCTGTTATGCTTACTTTGCAGCGAATAAAACTTTTATGCTTCCAGAAATATTGCCGATAGCTTTTCCATTCATTTCCTCTTGAGCTTTAGCAGCTTCGGAAATTTTCCCGAACTTAATGTAAGCTATACCTTTGTTTTCATGTGTGAACTTATCCTTAACAATCCAAATGTCTTTAATTTCTCCAAATGGGGAAAAAGCCATACGAAAATCATCCTCATTGTGAGACTTATTACAAACTATAAAAAGTCTCGACATTGGAGGATCAAAATCGATGTAATAGTCTCTACCACCATTAAGACCTCCAGCAGGAGTTTGTAATTCAAAATCCATCATTTTATTTTCAGTTTCTTTAAAGGCAGATATGAAACGTATAAATTACCTCACTTCACACTTTGGGAAGCAAAATATTTGACAACACTGCAATAAAAAAAATCTATGTTTATCGACAATAGCAGTAAGCGTTTATCGATAAGTCAATGCAATCGCACTAGTGAAGTAATTTATACAAATTTAATAAGGTGTTATGAAAACATAGATTTTTAGTTTCTTTTGTTTTCGTAGATATATAATTACAACACGCTTACTAAATTAAAATAAAACAAACTTTCCAATTTCCTTGGTTTAATTTTGTTTTGTATGGATATTGTATTAAGAATATCATATGCTGTTGTGTCGAGTTAAGTAGAGTAGTCTAAACATAAATATAATTTGTATTAAAATTTGACAACTTCCATTAGTTTACTTTTAAATTTCACTTGATTTGTACATATGCAATAAGTCGTATTGAAATTCATCAAAATAAATCAGCAAAATATGCAACTGACTATAGTCAGTTGAAGATGAATCGCTTGTTAAAGAAATCCTACTTTTTTAATAAATGACATTAATTGTAAATGAGTTACGATAAATGCAATCTCAATTTTACTGTAGATTTATTGTAATACTATATAAGACTTACACTTACAATAATTAACATTAGACCTTTTCTTTTGTAAGCATTTCACAAAAAAACAACTGCTTATTTTAAAAATAACATATGTAAGAACAACAATGCTGACTTATTTATTCCAACCTTTTTGAAACCGGTTTACTAATAAGCAGCTCAAATCGCATAGTTGCCAAAACTGAAAAAATTTGTCTATTGTGGACGACTTTTGGAAGTACCTACGAAATTTCCAGTTAACTGTCAACGAATGATTTCGTTTATTATTCGTATTTCGTTTCGTCATTGTTCGTAACAAATATTATATATACTTTTTATTATTTTACTGTTAAAAAGCATGAAAAATTATATTTTATTCACAATCATGTAAAAAAAAATATTCTCACCAATTATTGCAAACAATTATTATTTATTTTTGAAATTTCAACTTTTAATTATTACATGTTTTGCACATATAAGCCTAACAAAATCTTCATTTTGTCCAGAGTTGCCATCGGAAGTAGTGCTAATTTTATTTGTTCTTTTGCGACATGCTTACATAAGAAAAGGCCTATTATAAACACATTTTTAGAAAAATTGAGTGTAAAAAATTGGATATGTGGGTACGGGTTTGGCAATGAAAAATAAAACTCTTATGGGTACGGTTTTGTCGACGAAAAATAAAACTTCTCTTTCTTCTACAAACAATTATTGCTTAAGTTAACGCTCAATCTAAAATATTTTTGGCCAAGAAAATAATTGAATAAATCTAATTACTATCATTAGCTGTTTTCGACATTTTGAACACGTAATATTCTCATTTTTTGCAATAAATTGATGCCAGCTTGAACGAGCTATTATTTTGTTTATACAATATTTATTTATATAATAACTTAATATTTTCTACATTCACATGTAAATTATATGTACATCATGAAATATTATTACTGGCGCGCAAGTTGAAGCCAGGCTGAGAGTGTTTAGAATCTATTGTGAATTAACTGAGCTACTGTAATTTTACAGAAATATTGACAGTTTTCTTTGCTGTTATCGACTGTCGATTGTAAACAAGACAAAAGTAAACAAAATAGGATTCTAAATTTTTAGGAACAATTTTTATTACATATAAATAGTTGACAAAAATGTATTATACGGGTAGCCCTCTCTGAAAACGAACACAAAAAAATACCGATGGTATAGATGGTTTAAAAAACATTGAATGAAATGTTAGAATTGCAATTTTAAAGTGTTTTTAAGTTTCTCCACATGTAGCCACCTTCTAGGTTTGATGTTATTATCACGAAAATTGAAACAAACTAAAAGTCGATTTTTAATTTCAGACCTGAAATGACTGCTAATAGTCTGTGTACTATATAAGAACACTCACATTATTAAAACGTTTTGTGGAAATATAGAGAAAAGCCCTTATATTTAAACAAGGAAAGCGCCAACTATATTTGTTTATTATCTTTATTAATAATATATATTTAATTTACTATATAACACATACTAAAATGAATTACTTAAACAAAATATTATATCTGTGGAAACGCCACCTTAAAAGATTTGTACTATATATATATGTATGTATATATATATATCTATGTATGATATAGCATGTCATTTAGTTATTTACAGGTGGTATCAAAATTATATATCATTTTACGAAATATACTATTTTAAAGCTTAAAAATATACTAAATAATAATGAACATTTAGCAGATCCATTGAAAAATTGTAAAAGTATTTGTTTAACAAAACAGGTTGAATATAATTAATTCAAAGATATATAAATTTAAATGCTTGAAAATATATTCAAATTATTTAGTTTTATTTAATTATTTCAATTTTCTCATCTGAATTAATTTTCTTAGTTATATGTTAGTATGTATGTCTCTAGAATTCTTATTCTTTTATAAATTTTAAACTGCAATCAAATTTTAATGTTTGTAGTAATGGATGGAAGGAAATCGCAATCTCTTTATATTAGTAATATAAACTTTCTGCATGAAGCTAAAATATCAAAAAAAGTTCAATAACCTGTTTATTGCTGTTAATGTAAGCCGATAATAACATTTGCAAATTTATTCATATTTATCTCAATGATTTCATCTCTCATAAAACTATATGTTTTTTTATAGAAATCAAATAAAAAAATTGCAAAAATCGAATGGTTTGGTTTTGGAATATACAAGAAATAAAAATTACCATAACAGTCTTACAAAAGTGGATAATATTAAACACAGCATTGTTATAAACCAGAACACAATGAATAATATAGATTAGGGGCTACAGAACCTCGTGCATAAAATGGGGTTTCGTATATATGAATATATGGTGGAGCTAATATATAGTGTTAAAAAATCGTTCATAAAATAGCAATACTACGACTAAATTAACATATATATACTGTATAGGTATTTTAGTTTATTAAATTATATTAAAATTTTAATATTTATATAATGATTATAATGTAACAATATATATTTTATATTTGATATAAATTTCTCTTTTTATACTACCTTCTAAAATGTATTTTAATTTTTATATATATTATATTGATTTAAATTAGATTTATTAACTGTTGTATAAACAGTTGTTTCTTTTTACAATCACAATTTAAGAACTTAGTCTATTCACATATGATTAATTTTCTTTAATATTCAAAAATATTTTTCTTTAACAGAATGGATATATTTTGATAAATACCTATATGTACATCAATCATTGGAAGCATGGCACGCACAATAAAATTTCTTTGATTTGGCTTGGATTGCTTTGACACTCCTTAATTATGTCATCTTTTAATTGATAGTAAGAAAGAACAAACCAGACAATTTTTGTACAAACACTAAGCACTAAACACTTAATTACTCAATTTCATTCATTTCTTTTTAATAATTGTAACAATTATTAAACAGACTGATTATAATTATATATATATATATATTTGTATGCATGTTCAAATTATATATATACATAGATGTATATATGTATATATATAATTATATATGTATATATATAATCCAAAGTATATACCGACACCACAACATTTTTTTAATAAAATATTTTATATATATGTATAAATAAACTATAACGGTAAATTAAGTATAGGTACGTTAACACGAAATAAACCACGATTACCATATGGTAATGTAAATTAAGACGCTGCATACACATGCATAGCATACATATTGTAACGCCTACAGACATACCATATGGCAATGCAGCACGAATTAAAAGATTAACCTCATACTCTTGCTCAGGAAGTCAAAATACACTAATATATGTCTTATTAACAAATTCTGCGACAAAAATTGGGTTAAATTGAGTTTTAACATCCGTTTGGATGAAATAAATTTAATTATTATTATGAACTATTGTTTTCAAAAGAGAAGTATTTCGAATAATATTAAATTACAACAATAAAATTTTCTTATTTTATTAATTAATCGTATTTTTGGCTGATTTGTATTTACAGCTGTTTCGAATATTGCCAAATTCCCAGCATCAGTTATCTTTGAATTATTTTTTACATATAATTATTCCTAAATAATTTTTTCAGACTGCAAGTACCAAGAATTGAAACCGTTCCCTGACATATTTGAAGCTCAGTGTCAGTGTTCAGTAACCAACTGACTCAAAACAGTAATTGACTTGTATGTTCGAATTTAGAATTTTATTGATTTTCTGTAAAAATTCATTAACAAATGCATTTATTGTGTTATATTAGAATGCTAATTATAAATAAATATTTTAAAAGAAATCTTTTTGAAAGTGGTTCCGTATCGTAATAGAAACCCTAAAATTTAAGCCTTAACCTTTCTAAATGGATTAAAAACTGGTTATGCATGCACTCTACAGTAATAGATTTCCTTCTTTACTTATTTATAAATACATATAATAATGTATAAAATATATCATTATATAAAAATCTATAATCTATATTATAAAATAATCCATATATAGCGTAAAATAATTCAGAAATAAATATTAAAAATATATAAATAAATAAATATTAAAATAATAGAAATATAATAAACAAAATAAAAAAAATTATCGGTTTTATTAAACGCTAAGTAAATAAGAAGTAATTATGCAGTATAAACAATACTTCATTTATTACCAACAAAATGTAGTGTTTAATATATTCCAGCAGTTTGTCATGAAAAACGGTAAAATCAATTGGCTATTGGAAATTAATTGAAATTGTGTTGGCAGTGATACGCCTTGCCTTCACGGTTCGACAAGGCGTTCAATGTGTTGTGAGTTTACGTGCATGTCTTGTATATTAAACAATTAAAACAGATTTGTAACATTTTTTATTTTGTATTGGTTTTGTTATAACATCGAACGTTTACCTAATTTAAGTTATTTTAGCGCTTATCCATTTCGCGTTGAAATATCGAAGTGAATGGACTGATTTTTAAGCGCGATGCGTACCGCACAAATATTCCTCTTCACTTTTGGTTTATTGGTAGCACTGGAGGCGAGGCTTTCTACTGCAACCAGTGAGGAGTAAGTATTTTTTAATTTATATTTCGTGATAGATA